TAATGAGTATATGAAGGAGATGCTCATCTTCTCTTTTTCCTTCTCCTTTTCCTTCTTCTTCTGCTCCTTTCAGCGCGGGAAGATGCCCTGCCTTGCCTGTCACTTGAGCTCTCTATGGCCAAAGCCCGACGCCACTACCTGGTGACTTGGTAAGAGAGTCAACCAAGGCAGAGAGAGAGAGACAGACGGACAGATAGACAGATAGACACGATACACAGACACAATAGACGGGCAGACAGGCGGACAGGCGGACAGACGGACAGACAGACAAAAGCAACACCTAGTCTTCTCTCTCTGAAGTCATCGACTTTTTCTTTCCCACCGATGACGATCCCAGCGTGCCTAAGTTTCCCTTAAAAGCAAAAAAAAAAGCCGTTTGGTTGATATTTGCTGAACCAGACTCTTGTCTTCCACACATACAAATATAACAACACACACTCGCTTCTCTCATACATCATCATATCCGCCGACTCCCGCTGCTAGAGAAGATTTCCGCTTCTTCTGCTTCTTCTGCTGCTTCTTGTCTTTCGTCTCTCCGCCCATCCTGCTGCTCATGGTTTTGTTAGATCACCACAATTCAATCATTGACGGAGAGCTGGCCTCTCCCGGCCTCTGGGCCTAGTTCGCCAGCAGTTGCTCCTGATCAATCCCCGTTCTCTCGATTATGCCAGTTAAAAAGTCTCTTCAGGATGGGTCGAGGTCCTCCGAGCTTGGTCGCTCAGCCAGCTACAACCACATCCCCCAGTTGCTCATCGACAGTGAAACCGCTAGCATCAAGAGAACCATCTCAGAAGTGAACCTCTCTCAGCTTGCCGCTGATGCGCAGTCGCCTACACAGCAGATTGACGTCGAGACCGGGAAGAGTATCCTGCGGCAGGCCTCGCTAAGAGAGAAAGCTGGTAGACGCCCCGTCCGCAACACGCAGCCACCTACAGACAAAAACAACAAAACCACAACCACCGATAATAATAGCAACAGTGATACCCCTTTACCCTCTGCCAATATCAGTCCGAGTGTCGAGGTGACCGCGGCGCCCAGAGTGTCTGCAGAACGTCCCCGCAAGGCCTTCTCTAAGTCGTCGTTCGCAAACTTGACCCTTAAGCCATGGAAGACCTCTCGGTCACCCTCGCCTGTTTCCATGCCCTCTACCTCTTCCGACCCAAAATCGACAAATACAGCTCTAGAAAAAACACCAACGGCAGGATCTTCTGGCACGAGCACGCTGTCTGTCAGGACGATAGACTCCACTACAAATAGTACAGCATCGGACTCTACATCAACGTCGCCTGTCGAATCTACCGGCACGACAACACCTAAACGCGGCCGGAGACCGGCCAGCATTATCTCTCTCAAAGGAAAAAACCAGATGGAGTCCAAGGGTAACAGGGATTCCTCACAACACTCTCTACGCCGAAGAGCGTCCTGGGATCGGCTGGTGGCCTCTGTCAGCTTATCCAGCAGTAAACAGGATGTCCCTCCAGTCCCCCAGGTTCCCGTATCCCAGCCCACCCGCGCAAAGCCAGAATCTCCAAAGAAGAAGGACGAGCTCTGGCATGTCTTTAGAGCACTCGATGTGGACTACCAAAAGTAATGCTCTTTTTTCGCACCCTCCTTACATTTTCTCTCCTTACATGCTAACAATCACAGATTTGCCTCGAAATCGACATCCCTCAAAGTCAATGTTCTACGCTCCTCACTGCTACCCGTCCTTTCTCGTATCTTGAATCATCCATCCAATCACAGGCTCCGGCCGGAAGATCTGGACAGGCGCACAAACATACTGAACAGGTGGTGGACTGGGTTACTGGAGCTGCTAAACGGACGCAATGGCCAGTCTATCACAGGAACAGACAGGCCTGTCTACCTGGAATCAATCGTCGCCATAATGACTCGGCCGGAATGGAGAGTGCCTTTCCAGTCAAACGTCTCGGGCTCATCCTCTACCTCCACCTCGAGAGTAGACCTGGCTGCTAGATCCCATACCTCCCTGGAGTCAACAGGATCCGACTTTCTAGCAGAATCAATCCATCATAACATCCGCAACACCTTCAACCAAAACCTACTCTCCCAGATCGCCTATTCCATTGATCGAATGTCCGTAAGGCATACGCCGGCAAGCTTGGTCTCCTTTTGTGGAAAAACTTGCGCATACGCCTTTTTCTTCTGTCCTGACGTTGCCGGCGTGCTTATCCGGCTCTGGAATATACCACCTACCATTTACCGGAATGTGATAAATGAGTTCGACGTTGGCCACAATCATGTCCTCAGAGGAGTCATGGCAGAGGAAATATCATCCCAGTTTCCCCCCGCTGTGCGAACCCTTTCATTTTCTGGTCATTCATCCTTTATACGCTCCCTACGGCGTAATACTATGGTTCCTCTTGCCGCTGCTCAAATTAACTGGTTCGGTCCATGGGCGCCTCGTTGGGCCGGCCGTGATACAGACCTCTTCTTTATCTTTTTAAAGCATTTCTATCTCCTCATTACAGACATGTTGCCTGCAATCAGTGACATGTCAAAAAGGATATATGTTCCCGGGTTCATTCCGGTACATGCACAGATGCTAATCGTCTTACAAAACACCCTCAGTAAACACACTGGTCTACAGCCTACGGATGCACTCCACAGTACCGCGAATGCCACTTTTGATGATCTGTTAGATGGAGCAGATACACCTGCAAGCCTGCCTCTGAGGCAAACTAACTCGCTAATATTGATGTCAGAGAGCAGGCTGATCATGACACTGCGAGACTTTATTGCTGACTCCTCAATGCAGCAGCTGACCAAACAGCTGTTTGTTCAATCATTCTGCAACATACTCAAGCTCGGTGCACGAAAGACATCTCTGTTTGACCACAATGCATGCTTTGCCTTATGCGACTTTGTCGAGGAACTCATCCCATTAATACCTCCATATTGCCGCACGAATGATCTGCACGACCCACTCGACTGGGACTTCTGGCTAGATGTCTGTCTGGAAATGTTGAAGAGCAACAATTCACTTACCGAAGTCAGGACTTTTGCCTTCATATTTGCCGGCTGGGCGGAGATTATCCATGATCCAAGGCGGAAGGAGCGGTTATGTATAGATATGCTCCTTGGCCGTGAACTCTTCACCCGGTATTTTGGCCATTGGAGCCCCATGGTTCGTGGATACTATCATCGATTGATCTGCTGGAGGTTAGCTCGGCACGACGGTACCCAACAGTCAGATCTTGATATGTAAGTTTCCTCCTAGGTTCTAGCCCCCCCAAGCCTTTATCTTACTAACACCTTCATAGTCGTATATACCAAACCCTGTACGATAGACTGGGTCAAATTTGGGATCAATTTATTGCACACCAGTCAATAGCTGAAAAAGGTCTGGTAGCACCTGTATCAACCGCCCCCTGTACCCCTGCCCCGGGCCGCCGTCTTATAATTATCCGGAATGACTATTTCCCCCCGGCCCCAAGCATGTTTGTGTGTCTGGATAACATACTCCCGCCTTCAGTGGCAGTCCGTCCATCTAGCAGGGAATCTCCAAAGCAAACACAGGTTTCAACATCTGAGGCAGACTCGACATCACCGCAAATAAAGAAAACCTGGAAAATGCTGAGAACTATATTTAAGGGCAATTCGAATCCCAAACCTGGAGAAGTCACCCCACCCGGAAGCTCTAGTCCAGAGGTTCCTGGTACGGCAACCGTCAACGAAGGTCGCAACGCCAGTGAAAACACAAAATCTCAACAGGAAGACGGAGCGAACCCCCGTTCTGAACCCGGCTCAAGCACCACACCGCGGCAAGCGTACACTTTCCGATTTTGTCTGGAATGGATCGATCGTCAGAGATGGCCGAGTAGAAACAGACAGCTCTACCCGCCTTCACTTCCTGCACCAGCTCGTCTATTCCTTCACGCACTCCGGAAACCTCCTATAAACATATCAGACTCAAGCTCAGGTTCCAGGTCCCATTCACGCTCAGGCACCGGTTCCGACAATGGATCTGAAACGGACTCCGCTGAAGAGATCGAATCTCAGATAACCAGCGAAGCCTCCGGTACCGATACCGTCGCTCCCCTGGTAAACAATGCATCAAAGAATCTGTTTGCTGCTGCCATTCAGCCTCCCGTCAATGGTCCAATGAATAAATATGCAGGTCGAGCACTTGCAGAATGGGCCATGGTTGTGTCAGAGTGTGATAATTTCTTTGAACGAAGGCGCGACGAAGGCGTCCCTTGCGACCGGTTGGTTGAGGTTCCAACACTTGGTGCCGACAGCTTCCGGAAATAAAGAGAGAGAAAAAATTAAAAAAAAAAATAGAACAAAAGAAAAAAAGTGAACGAGATGAACGATATTCCACGGGTCTGCCTGCTTTCGAAACCTTTACGCAGCTTATAAATTCTACTGCCTCCTTCAAACACCATTCATCCCCGCTTGCTTTGATCTGCTTGAGCAGGTTTTACAAACTTCCATTTACTTTTTACACTGGCCACTTCAACGCCGCCCTTTTTGGCGGTCAAGTTAACGTTCGCTCATATTTAATACCCCTTGCAATTCCATATCCATCAAGACTCACACCGCATCGCATCACGCCCTTCGCATCACGCATTGCATTGTAGTATTTGTTACGCCAACCTTTATATTTTCTGCTTCTTTCTTTCCCCTTTTTCCCTCTCATTCCTTCTTTTGTGTATAGATTCATTTGGTTACGCATTATTGTTCTTAAACCTATTTATTTTGATGTCCCTGTTTGGTCTGCAAGATGCAAGACCACTCTCATTGTTGGCATGTAAAGCTAGGAGTAACCCGGCGCTCTTTTCTTCACGTTTCTTTCCTTCCTTTTGGAGTCTTGATTATAATGGTGGGATATTTTCTATGGCATGGGATTATAAAATAATACAAGTCTATTAATCTTATTGAATGGAATTCATTGTAAAGCTACTCCGTCGGTCTTTTATCATGTTTAGTCGAGCTCTCTACATACATTTTTAGTCAGGGGAGGCTGATATCACGTGATACATGTAGTTTCAACGGCCAGAGCTTCAAAAGCTTCGACTTCGCGAATGATAAGAACTGCGACTCCATCTAAAAGAGCTACGCTGCTCTCCGACAGGGCACTGGGTAGAAAGACATCATGTCTGACGATACCCCAGTCAAATCCATCTTCGATACTCCATCGGCTAAGCCATCTACTGCGAAAAGGTCACAATTTGAACGGCAGAAAGCTGAAGCCGAAGCAAAGAGACAGAGAGATAAGGCCGAGACCGCAGCTGTCTACGAAGACTTCGTCAAGTCCTTTGACCATGATTCAGGCCCATCCACCGCCTTCAATACCTTCAGTGGACGATCTACTCAACATCCTCACCACCATGCGTCAACTACGGGCCACTCGACCAGCGGCCCATCCAAACGACATTTCGCAGGCCCTATGCGAAATTCTTCTGAAGCTCTCGGAAGACCGCCTGCTTCTTTTTCTAAGAAAAGACCGTTTGATTCACTAAGAGACTCTCAACGAGATCGGGATAAACCTCGTGGTATATTTGGATTTGAAGGCTCGCGCCCAGGCGATTCGATAAATGCATTCCAAGCCTCGGATGGAGAGGAGGATAAGACCGCCGATAAGAAAGAAGCCGAGAAAGCAGCTGCCAAACCTACATTGCATGTCTCTTCTCTACCTCCGGGGACTTCGCCGGCTGTTATAAAGTCTTTGATTCCACCAATATTAGTTGTGGATAACGTGAAGATATTACCTCCTCCACCCCCGGCGCATGGTGGTGGACACGAAAAGCGAATATGGTCTGCAATTGTTACGCTGGCTCAAGATACTGCTGCCACGGACATGGATACGGTAGTGAGCTCGTTGCAAAATAAATATCTAGGCTGGGGCTTTTATCTGTCGATTTCTCGCCATCTATCGTCCGCGGCTATCCATTCGACTATCCCCATCACACCTGGCTCAACTTCACTAACTAACCAGCCCTTTGGTGCTCGCCCTATAACTCGTACCAGCCATTTTGGGCGTGGAGGGCCTCATCGTTCTGGAATTGCGCCCCCATCCTCATATGACTCTAGATACGGGAGCAGGAGCAACCAGGGGCTTCAGGTAGACGTCAAACCACCTTCAGACTTGCGCCAGTTAAAGCTGATACATAAGACGATCGAGAATATGCTAACGTTTGGACCGGAATTCGAGGCCTTATTGATGAGTAGGCCGGAAGTTCAAAAGGAGGAAAAGTGGGCTTGGATCTGGAACCCAAAGAGCACAGGGGGAGTATGGTATCGTTGGAAGCTATGGGATATTTTGACAAATCCCGGGAAAAGACGTGGGGGACGAGGCCGTGTATCGTCTACAGTGATATTCGAGAATGGCCCTATTTGGTCTGAACCAGAAAGGAACCTACAATTCGAGTATACCACCAAGCTTGATGAATTTGTTTCCGATGAAGACTATGATTCTTCCGATGAGGATGATTCGGATAGAGAGGAAGAGAAGAAATTAACCGAGACTTCAAACGATGCATCTAATGATGGGATGGGCCATTTGAACCCCTTGCAAAAGGCAAAACTCACGCATCTACTAGCAAGACTTCCTATATCGCACTCAAAACTTCGACGGGGCGATGTAGCGCGAGTGACTGCATTTGCTATTAAACATGCTGGCGGAGGAGGAGATGAAGTCGTTGATATGATTGTATCCAACGTCAATAAACCATTTGCTTATACCTCTGCAAACCCTGAACGGCAGAAGGACGAGAATGAAGCTTCGGGACCTGGACTAGGCCAGGATGATGCTGAAGAGCCTGCGAATGCCAATAATACCGAATCTACAGACAGAAACAAAAAGCCAGGCGCAGGGGAGAAATTGGATACATCATCAGCCAGCTTGGTAGGCCTTTACATCATATCAGATATCCTCTCATCCTCATCCACAAGTGGCGTACGGCACGCGTGGCGCTATCGACAGCTTTTTGAAAATGCTCTGAAACAGCAAAAAACGTTTGAAAAGCTAGGTCGTGTTGAAAAAGAGCTTGGCTGGGGTAGATTGAAAATTGAGAAATGGAGACGCAGCATCGGCATCCTTCTCAACTTGTGGGAAAGCTGGTGTGTTTTCCCACAGGCAAGCCACGAGGCCTTTGTCAAATCCTACGATCATCCTCCGCCCACCGAAAAGGAGCAAGCAGAAGAAAAGGCTCGTGTGGAAGAAGGGAAAGAAACAGGTGTGTTTGGTGGGAAGGGCAAAAATAAATGGAAATCTGTTGAAGACAATGGCAGTACCGAGCAGTTTAACCCCGCTAACCCTACGGACGATGGCGAACCTATGGATCTAGACGTTGATGGAGCTCCGGTTCATGAAGATGACTTGGATGACGAGGTCTTTTCCGATATCGATGGGGTTCCCATGGAAGATAGCGATTTGGAAGAGGCCGAAGACGCTCCTCCGGACCAGGATAAATCAGTCAGCAAAGAACAGGAACAAGCGCCAGCTTCAAAGGAAGAACCAGCTTCCAAAGAAACTGGTCCACAGCCTAGTGAACCGGCCCAGCCGCCGCCTCAAATACGCCGCCGGCCCAAGGCAGAGGACATGTTTGCGGACTCCGACTCTGAAGGCTGAGAGATAAATCTTTGCTAGCGTTCAAACAGTCATCCTGAACGTTTCTACCAACGGCATCTATGGACGCATCAACCTGTCCTCTTCTTCCCGCATGTAAATTATAATAACTATTGCCATCTCGTGGAGCATCAACCGCTTCGTCTCTTGTAATATTAAAAAAGAAGCTGAACGCCAAGACGTTTTTCCTTTTGGGTCAAAACCCCCACCATATAAATAAAAAAAGCCCCTCCGTCCCTTCTTGCGCCCACCACAACACCGCAGACAAGCAGTTCGATACAAGAGAGATAGAGCAGTTACAAAGCTGGGATACAGATAAGATGGCCGGTAGGCTCTCCTTTTGCCCTTCTTTTTGCAAGCCCCGGATGGCTATGAGATCTATTCCAGTGATCCATATATGACATGAATGAGAATACCATCTCTTCAGGATCTTCGATGGCTAATGAGATTGTTTCCTCTAGACTTCGAACAGGTTGCTAGTACGTCTATACTTCCACCGTTGACCGTGATGGTATCCTCCGGCCGCAAGATGCTGCTGTGAGGGGGAGTCCATATCCGTATCCAAAGACATGAATCATTGGTGAAGCCGGGCCCCTAACAGCAATCGCGTTCTACGGAATAGAGCAATTCGTTGAGTTTTACTACAAGACATTCGACGAGAACCGGAATGGACTCGGAAACCTCTACGTAAGCTTGATAGAATTTGGATTCGTTTTTGGATGCCGCAGAGGACAGGGGGCTGATGATATATGGCTATGTAGCGCGACCAGTCGATGCTGACATTCGAAACCACATCCATCCGAGGAGCTGCCCTCATCTTGGAGAAGTTGACTGTGAGTATATCCTATTACGGTAGAAGGCTTGATGATTCGGGCGGTTGCGCATATCTTCGTTGAATAGGTGGTAATCCTATCGCTAACATTTCGTGTGAACAGAGCCTGCCATTCCAGAAGGTCATCCACCAAGTAGCCACTATGGACTGTCAGCCATCACCCCAGGATGGCGGAATATTGGTCATGGTCACTGGTGCTCTGTTGGTAAGGCCAACCACATCCAGCTGAATATTCCCGTATACTTACCCCTTTTCACTACTTGCACAGGTCGATGAACAACAAACACCCATGAGCTACAGCCAGTGCTTCCAGCTCCTCCCTGACGGCGCCGGAAGCTACTTTGTCTATAATGATGTTTTCCGCCTTGTCTACGGCTCTTAGGCGACATCGGAACAAGAGAGGTCTTTAAAAGTCAACAGATGGTCCTAAGAAAAAGGGCGTCACTGTTGTATTTCATATAGCGTTATGATAAATTTCTCCTGGCCAGTCGCCATTTGGCGGATACGGTGGATAATGAAAACTTGAACCTGTTTACTTCCGATAGTCACCTTTTACAGAGAAACATGGATAACTACTTTGTAGACAAGAGGACTTAACTAACACCGGCATAGCCACTCGAAGTGATAAATCATACCTCCGACTAACCCGCTGCGTACGTTGGAGAGTCAAATTGCCGTCCACGTACAAATTGTGTGGCGGTTCTGTGGGAATATTCAGGCTCCAACGTTGTTGTTCAAGCTTAAATAGAGCCAACCGGACGCCCTCGAATACTCCATCAAAACCGACCCAAGATCCTTCCTAACGTCCAAACGCTTCTTCTTTCCTTTGCATCGTCTAGTAAGTCATAAACTGTGGCTTGTTGCCCTTGGTGAACCAGCAGTGGCTTGGCGGAGGCTTGAACTTTCTACAAGTTGTTGTTTTGTTCCTTTTTTTTGGGGGTTTCTTGAGGCCATCTTGTCACTAAAAAGGGAACCGTTTTTCTATTGAACGGTGTACTGCTGTTTGCTGGGCAATAAGTAATACATTCTACTGCTCTGCTTGCAGGCACCTACATTTGTTGAAGCTCTCTTTTAGACGCCCTTGTTATTGTGGCTTATACTGCGCGTCAGCTGCCTTAGCTTTCTTCGGCTTTATTTTCAGTGCCAAAATCGGAGCAGTGCTGTGAGTTTGCCTACTCTCTCCCCCTTCCCTCTCATGTGCTATCTAGAAGGTGTCTACTATCTTTATTCTATCTTTCTTCTTTGTTAATGTGCGAGAGCTGATGATTCTGTCTGTCTAGCGTCGTTTATCTTCCTCGTTTAGATCAGCTCTGGCCTCGCACTCAAGCTCTAAAGAGAACCACCGTTTCCCCCAACCAGATACATACAACTCATCTCTAGAGAGACTTTAAGCCTGTCGAGGATCACTAGCTCTCATAATGACGCTCTCCGAAGAGTTCAAGTCTAGAAACTTCAGTAAGTCTGCCAGAGACGGACATCCAAACCTACTCCGGATATGCTGCTAACTTCCATTTACCAGGCATCTATGGACAATGGTTAGTCGCCCGTATCGCCTCCTCTGCCTAGTTTGGGCTGCTGGGCCCTGCTGGCTGCGCTGTCACTGCCCGCACATAACCGGAGCCTGATACTGTTAACATAGGACCGGCATTCTCTGCATGCTTATATGCTTCGCTGTTGGGATTTCTAACCTCTTTCGCGTTCCCTCTGTCATACTTGCCTTCAGCATAGTATGTCTGTAAGTAGACATATGATATCTACGATCCCTTCTACAGCCTGCTAACGCACTGCTTTTTAAACGAATAGAGCTTCGTCCCCGGTTATCCTATTCATCGAGGTACCTTTGCTCCTGCGCATCTGCCCTACATCGTCGAAGTTTGATGCTTTCATCCGCCGCTTTGCATCCAACACAATGCGTGCGGTTATCTACCTTGCCATGAGCACTATCCAATGGGTTAGTCTCGTAAAGGAGGCCACTAGTCTGATCGCAGCTGCCGTTTTTCTCCTCTTTGCTGCCATTTTCTATGCTCTCGCTGCTGTTAAGGGCCAAGAATTCACGGGAAGCAAGACCCTTGGTGGACAAGGCGTTGCGCAGATGATGGTTTAAATGGGAATAGGCTTGTTGACCGAAAGCTGTCTTTCTCTCCCTCGTATATGGCCAGCCAAACGAGCATCTTTCCTCGACGAGAAAGGACGGACTTGTCGATCCACATTCCCACGACGCACACGACGATCAACCAACTTTTTTTTATTTTAAATTGAGGTTGCATACCGGTGATGATTTGTCTCAGCCGCAGGTTTTCTTCCATTCCTACTACCCACTGATAGATACCAGCTTGCTTATGCTCTTTTTTTTTAATGGACCTTTATGTCATGACCGGAAGCCTACCTGGGACTGAGCACTTCACTTGAGTTAATGTTCTATTTCTTAGCCTCTCTGTAACTTCTATAGCTCTGTCTTTCTGTCTGTATTGTAGGCTACTGCGAGAATTCAACTAACTTCCATCTTAATCTTTCTTCTCTATAAAGCTGGGGTTGTCCACGTGACTCTCCGCGTGAAGTCATGTGGCTTGAGCTTACTACGTAAGAATAAAAAGCATCTCGAAAAGCCATCTTGGGACTTCATACATCCAGACATACAAGATAACTTGCCAGCTCGCAGCTCAGAGCTAATATCAGTCATCACGTTGGGCAGCAATTATGCTGTGGTTTTCCCAAACCTCTTATAGAGCCTGATTTATACCTTTGTATATGAAGCTTGGTGGCTGTCAGCCCATGGTGTTTGATTGTTGCCTATAGCTCAAGAAACCATCTTTCTTGACGTCTTTCTACTATCATATACAACGGTAAGCATTCTCATTTGCAGTGAAGCGGGGTGCTTTTCTTTTCTTGAAGTTTCTCCCTGCTATCCTTGATTCAATGCATTATCAGGACTCTCGCCACCCTGGTCAAAACATCTGAACTGCCCTGTCAATACTTTGTTTTGAAGGAGTTCTGCAGAGAATCAACCGAAATATTCCATTTTTATTTCCTTAGGAGTTCATACTATCGAGTATGATTTTGAAGGGGAAATAGACCTGTGCCATTTACACCTTCGAAGCAGTGCCGATTCTTGGAATCGTTTGGATAGAAGCAGTCACTGACCTATCTAGAAGCGTTCTCTACATTTCTCCTCCCAATATTTACCTATATTAGCATTTTATTATATCACAGAATATATTTGATACCAACATGTCAACAAAAGCGCCCCCGCCAATACCTCCTCGACCTACCCGCTCTCCAAACAACGCCCCAAGCTCCAGCGCAAACCCACGAGATACCCCCACGCCCAACAAGTCGTCCGGATAGAA